TGTGAAGCTATCGAAAAATGGAAATGCCAAGTATTCATGTATTTAAAATAACGCTATCATATTGTTATGTGCTTGCATCAATTAATTGATAGAGATGTTAGACTACATAACTCAGCCTTATGTCTTAACAAACATAATTTACTATAAAATGTTGAATCTTCTAAAAATACCGCAATATGCTTATTCACAGGACAAAGAGACACACACACATGAATCTGTAAAGCTGGTGTTGCATTATTCCCAGCTGGTAACCAGGCAGGTGGTGCTTCTCTGAGGTGTGTGTGTGTGTGTGTGTGTGTGTGTGTGTGTGTGTGTGTGTGTGTGTGTGTGTGTGTGTGTGTGTGTGTGTGTGTGTGTGTGTGCGTGCGTGCGTGCGTGCGTGCGTGCGTGCGTGCGTGTGTGTGTGTGTTGCGTGCGAGTGTGGAGGGGTTACTGGGGTCATTACTCTCCTCCCCCCCTGCTCCTATCTCCTGCCCCGGAGCGAGACTTTCTCCGCTGCTTCTTTGTTAATATGACAGGCCCTAATAGAATAAATAAGGTGCCTATTTTTACCTGGCTGCTGGCAGGGTGATCACACTTTACACACATACCAGCACGCAACACTGCGCTGTAGGTTGGTGGAGGGCTGAAACCTGACTCTGTGGGCGCCGAGGTTGAAGAAGGAGGTCACAGTGATTTAATTGAGAGAGAAGGTAAGTAGGGAAGCTGGGGAGCCAGATACAGAGAGATAAAAAACAAAACAAAGCTGTAGATACAAAAAGAATGAAACAATAGGAAGTTATTAAAGTCTGGCTTTCTGTTTACTGCAGACGCACCTTTGCTTTTTCTCAATATTTTCAATTTGATCTGACATTTAACGATTTAACAAGCTCCATAATGTCACCTTTAGGTGCTTTTGAAGCACATTCATTTTTTAATTGGTGTTGGAGTGTTTTGAAAGGACTCCAAAGCAAGTCATTATTGGAAACAGTTTTTCAAGCAAGCTGGGCTTCAACAAAACTTCCTGTGTGATAGTTCAGTAAGTGAACGTCAGATGAGGGAAGCTGAATGCGGCTAATCATATTCACATCCGTATATGGTGATACAAATGAGGTTTTAATTGTGGAAACATGACCTTCAAAATGTGTATGGTATCGGAGGCAGTTTTAAAGGCATATTTGGTTGAATTAACATCTTAATATGATATGCAATTAGAAAACTACAGACACATGAGTAACATTTAAGAAAATACCAGCATACAGATTCTTGGTTATGTAGTAGAGAAGTAGAGCAATGAGCCCAAAGTCACTCACCTTATATTTCCATATACTTCATAATGCTGGCTTTTAACATGTTGGGTGTAGGGGGTCACCTACAGTACATGTGGCTGAAGGAAGTTCAGCACCACAGTCTACTGTATATTGAGGTAGATTGATAGGATTTTATCCTCTACATTTAATCGATAATTTGGAGATTAACGTATTAACTGAACCTCACCTGCTAAATAAAGCTGATGCAACAACCTTTAAAGGGGTCTTTATATTTCCAATCAATTGGATTTACTTGATGTAATAAAGTGTTGCAACATGAACAGAGCTGAGCCTGCTTTCTCTCCGTTCGTGTCTGATCTCTGGCGTGGTAATTGAGGTCATTTGTCTGACAATAGGAAAGTTGTATCACAACCAAGTGCAGGGAAGAAGTGCTATTAATCACCCCGACGGCGACATGGCATGGTGGTTAAAAACACACTGCACACAGACTGACCACGGTTAATGAGCTATGGCCCCGTCTCTACAAACATGGCGGATACAGCAATGACAATCAATGCATGGCGTGTCCGAGTACAAATATCTGTGTGTGGGTGGGTGTGTTTTGCCTTAAAGTTTCTGGGTCATTAGGAAACAACTGGTGTAAGTCTTCAATTAACTTTACAGACGGTGGCATACTATGTGCTTCTTCCACCTACTGAGCTCTGGTCTGCTGATTTTAATTCACACTGGATGCACATCTGCCACAACATATCAACGTTCCCCGGGATTTTTTTATCAATTTTGGATTAAAGGGAAAATCTTCGCTCAAAGAGTGACTGTTTTATGTAACTGTGTAATTTTTGTATTCATGATAATTCACAAAAGCAGATACCAAAGTATTAGATTTTGTAAATTAGATGTTGCTCATCATATAAACCACCTTGAAGCTTTCCCATGACACACATAAGGTGAATGAAAATGTTTCTCTCTTGATGCAATACAAAACATCCTGTGCAGTATTGAAAAACATACCGTATCCATTTTATATATCAGTAAAGGTGGGGTAGGTAAGTTTGAGAAACCGGCTAGAGATACACTTTTTGTTATATTCCATGGAATGCTCTTAACATCCCGATAGCAATGAATATCTTAACTGCTTTGACAAAAACACCATTAACAAATGTCATCTCTGGAAGCCGTAGTACTGTAAAAAGCACGAACAATCATTTTAGCCGGCCCGGCTAAAATAACTGGATAGCCTACCTGCCTGTCAGCCTTCCATCTGTGCACAAACTCATCTCGTGCCCTCATTGGTCATGTGCGCGTTTGTGTGTGTTGGAGGAGGGGCTCTGTAAGGAAGTGGCAGATTTTTTCCGGTTGTGTATTTTCAAATTATAGCGCACCGGTTTCTCAAACTTACCCCAGCTTTAACCATACACATAAATAAGCCTTTACACTGCAGGTGCAGAAAATGATCGGCCTGGCTTCACACTGAATATGGAAGGCGTTGGATATGTGGAGCAAAGGGCGAGGACATGGATCATCAAACTCTCCTGTGAGCTCATTACTCCCTCCAAAAGGCCAGGACGTTTCCATGAAGCCAGGAAGAGATTAAGAAAGATGACTCTGATTTTGAGTTCTTGCCAATGGAATCTATTAGCTTTCCTCGTAAACGAATTGTCTTCAGCCAGGCTGAGACTAGCCTTTATTGAATCATCTGAAACCTTCACAGGCCAATGTAATCACCTTGCTCTCTTTGTCCGTTTGTCAGGAAAATACATTCTGGATAGATCTCACACTACTTCAGTGTTTTTATCGTGGGGGCTGATAAAAACAGGAATGTTGGCTGAGGGAAATAATGTATGACCTCCTGTTACTGTAACCTGGTCTATAGCAAAGGTAGAAATAGTTGTAAATGGGAATTGAATTAAATACAAAAGTCTAACAAAAATCCTGAGACATTTGAGAAAGGCAATTATTTTTTATTTTTACATGTCCGCAATTTTCTAATTTAGTGAAATTATGTCAAAAATCAGGTAACTTTTTTAAAAATTTTTAAACAAGTCTATTATTTTCCATTAAACAGGGTTCCTGTAGGTTTCACCAACTCAAATGTAAGACTTTTTAAGACCTTTTTAAGACCACTTTGAATATAATTTAAGACCTATTTCACGGCAATAAACTATGAAGGAACATTTCTATGAAAGAAGAAATACGTACATGTATTCATGTTCAACATAAGAACGATGACTGAACATAACAGCATAACAGTACACAGAACTGGGTTAGCGTGTTAGACAAAAAGTGTGTGTGTGTGTCTCTGTGTGTGTGTGTGTGTGTGTGTGTGTGTGTGTGTGTGTGTGTGTGTGTGTGTGTGTGTGTGTGTGTGTGTGTGTGTGTGTGTGTGTGTGTGTGTGTGTGTGTGTGTAGTGCTAGGTCGTATACCTCCTGGGTTTTAGGCGGCGGAAGTGACGTAATTGTGGATGAGAAGTCGGCAACTTTTGTATTAAAAGTTTATCGTTCACCCTAAATAGAGGAGAGTTCCGCTCACGCATGTCTTGTCACACATATGAGATTAATAAATGAATAATGAGATCATACTCTATAACAACATTAACATTTGTGAAATATACTTACATTTAAATAATAATGGTTTGATTGTTAAATAATAACTTACAGTTCTTTTTTGTGTTGCATTTGTGGATAAAATCCAAAGAACATTTAGGATATAAATACTGGTCAGATATCCACCAGATCTTTTAGTGATTGTTGTCTCTCTTGGAGAAATGAAATTGCAACATCAAATACAGAAGTTAATCTGAAACAAACTCAAATACCATAATGAAATTAATCCACCAATTATGATTGTTGTTATAACTTAAATGTTATACCTGGAAACACAAATACACAACCGAATGCTCGTCTCTTGTCCTGGGACCCAGGAGTGTACTATACATTTGTCTGGTATCAGTAATTGAATTCACTACTTATTTTTCAGACAACTTTTTACTTTTACTTCTTACATTTTGAACACAAATACCTGTACTTTCTACTTCTAACATTTTCAAAACAGGCTCGCTATTTTAGTTTAGAATAAAGAAGTTTAATCAGAACTTCTACTTTTACCAGAGTATTTTTAAACACAAGTATCTGTACTTCTACTTGAGTAAAGGATGTGTGTACTTTTGCCATCTCTGCTCATGGCATCCGTCTTACAATTAAGTCCAAACAGAAGCAGCTGTACATGAACCTTGACAATCAAGCATCTTTGTATTGCTACAGGTGTGTTGAAAATCAGCCATCATTCAAATCCACCATGTCCTGTAAAAGCTCTGCCAAAGCGATCTACAAGAAGTATTTCCGTTTAGAATGCAGACCAAAAACCGAATAGTTTAAACCATTGTTTGGATGGCCACACACACATAGGAATTCATGAAAGACTGCCACCCTGGGATCCCAGTCAAATCTCTTCCCAACAGGGTACAACCAAAAATAAAGGGAATGTAATAGGGGCTTTGTAAAAAAATAGTTCCCATGTGATGATTTCTCCAGGCATGAATTTATTAAATTATTGAAGTATCCTCAAGAGCCCTGCCAATTCTAGAATTTTAACATAATAATCCAGAACACCCTACACCCACACACACTGCAATAATCGACTGTGTTCCTGTATATTATACACAGTCACAAACACAGACCTCACCCTTGATACTCAGGCCAAAACAATTACGCTCCATTTTTTATAAATATCATTCCTTGTGTGTGTCCTACCTTTGCTGATGTCCTGGTACTCGAGCCACAGCTGTCTCTGGACCTGTTTGTTGGGGTACCAGATGGTGCAGGACTCCTGGAAGCCGTACACCGCCTCCTGAACATAATGGTTCCCAAACTCCCTGAGGATGGAGACAAAGTCGATCCGCTGCGTTGCCCCGTCCAGGGAATGGATGGCCGAGCTGAAAGCTGGGTAGAAAAAAAAAAAGGTATCCAAATGAGAAACAAAAAATATAACCGAATGCAAAGATATATGCGTTTTGTTTACTCAGCTGTATCTGGCACACAAATGCCTCTTTTCAAAATGTAAGGGTTTTATCACTAAGGCGAATAAAGCTGTTGAGCCTCACAGGATCTTCATGGATCATATATAAACGCAGCTGAGAACTTGGTATGGATTATTGGTAACCCTGACCATAACTACTAGTGATACCTACTGTTCATATCCTGCAATATGCTTATGGGGGCGGGGGAAATAATCGATACAGCATAGTATGGCAATACTTTGCGTGGCGATATTGTATTGATATTTTATTATATAAACTTTAGCATATCCCTCCGAAAGATGGTCGTACACTTGACGTGATGATTTCTAATTTATTGAAAACTCAAAAAAACAACGTAAAGCTATACAACGACACAAAACAACAAATACATTCAAGCTACATCCATATGAGCATTACTTTAGAATACCATTAAACAAGTGAACTTAAAATAGTTAATAAAGTTATAATACAGTATATAAATAAATTAAGACACAAAGCACATTTAGTATATAGTTAACACTAATAGTGTGCCTCTTCGGGGGGTGCTAATACATAATTAGCATATCGTAAAATTGCAATACTATCGTATCAAGGCTTAAGTATCGCCATGGTATCATATTGTGGGGAGCCTGGTGATTCCCACCCCTAATGCCTATTATCATCTTTATTTATCATCATTTTAGTTGACTAATTATTATTAGTTATCCATTAAAATGTACTTGAGATAAGAATAGAAGAAGCCTATAATGTGTAATAAAGGATGTCAGACAAATGTCTTGCAGGAGATATAGGGTAAATTATTGTATGATATGAGGGATGAGGTATATGGGATTACTTTGAGCTAGTATGACCAAAACAATCAAGGAATTTGCATGACTATTTCAACCATCTATTTTAAAATGGAAATGGAAATAAATACATTTAAACTCTTTAATACTGCACTTCACTATTAAAAAGCTTAGTTTTTCCTGTTTTAATCCATGTTTGTCACACTTTTTAAAAGGCACATACTGTATTTGAATTACCAGCATGCAGTAGCAGTTTCGTCTGGTGTCTGGCACAAAGTGTCTTAAATAGGTTTAGTGGATATGTGAGCCCACTGCTTACTATTCATGAAACCTTTCAACCACACAGTGCGGATCTAAAGTGACCACACACAGACCGGGAGCACAGGCTCACAAAAAACGAATTATTTTGTGTGTAATGTAAAATAGCCCAAACACTTTGAAGATGTTTCATAATGCCGGATGAAGGGTCAGAATCAGAATACCTGATGAAAACAGATGATAGCAAAATGTGTAGATAATACAGCTTGCAAGACTAGGCAACAAAAATGTTGATCATCCAGTTGCAAACGTTGTACTGTAGCTCTGTCTTTATATTCATATTAGTAATATAGATAGAGTATGAAAAATAAGGTGATATGATATTACCTTATTTTTTATACTCTATCAGTTGATCTTCACTCATAGAAAAAGTGCATTTAAAGTTTGCTGTCGATCACAAAAAGAGTTACAGCTAATAATGGCCTGAGTAACGTGTGGTGCCAATATTGGGCTTTATATATAATTATATTTTAATATAAGATAGCCAAGTAAGGTTGTATGATAACCATCAAAACTGTTGAGTTTATTGAATAGGACACAGCACTTTCTTTTATACATAGTGACAAGGAAGCTAAGCGCACACCATTAGACACATGTCCATTCGACTCATTTCCATTAGACACTTGTCCATTAGACACACGTGCACTTCTACGTACTGTATGTTGTCGGCCAACATGCCATCTGAATCATTTTAGCCTGAGTCTGTTAGTGTTTATAATGGTATCTTGTACCATTGACATTACCTGGTTGAAATAGACCCATATTGCTAAGTTCAGTTATTATTCATTGATTTCCTCTTTAGTTTTGTTGTGAAATGTTATAGTTGCCTTCAGACAGCAAATACATATCACACTGTCTCTATATTTGAAATTCTTACCATGTTTTTACTATAGTCGTAAGGAAGAAGAAGAAGATGGGCCTTTATTGATCCCTGAGGGGGACATTCAGTTTCCAAAACAAAACCCTACCCACTGTGAGTTGTATTGTGTGGATTTGCTATTGTTGTTTGAATGTTTTCCTTAAAAAAACAAAGGAATTCTCGCTTTCAATCACTGTATATTTATTTCGAAATAAGGTTTCGAATCCACTTGCATCACATACAGCTTAATCTCTGACTGGATAGGACAACCCCATCGGCAGTAGTGTGGCAGGGGGATGTCACAACGACTCAAAGGTTAAAGATTACTGTTTCCCTCTTTATTTAGACCTGGATAAGTGGTGGTAAAAACCTCGGGGTCAAGGATATTTGTATAGCTCATTTAGACAGAAAATCTCCCTTGGGGTTTTAATGTCCTAGCAGAGACCTAAACTGAAATGACAGCTTTTTTTTTACCCACAATGGTGAAATAAAGCACTACTACTGCTGCATTCACATTATGCGCGGTAAAACAGCTCTGTGCTGACGTTGCATTTCTATGGAGACGGAGGTGCCGCTAGTTTAATGTGAAACAAATCAGATGACAGCTGTATGTAGCAGCTCAAGCTAGCAGCGGATGTAACCATATCATTGAAACTAACTAGCTTTTTTCCCTGTAAGGCGCCCAACCGCGCGTTGAGCAAAGGGCAAATCCTGTATCAGCAACTATAGGGTAAGGTAATGGGTACATACTTGAAAACAAACAGGATAAACATCTCTCTAATGTGGATTCAACACACTATGCCACAGAATTAAATCATGACATTTGAGAGAAAGTATGTTTGATATGTCACATTGACCATCATTTAGAAAATATGATCCTTTCTTAGTAAATAGTGGAAAACAAAAGTGCAATAGCAATTAATCATTATCATTTCCATGCAGTATTAATATCTCAGCAATCACGCTCTGCTTGTTTTGACTTCTCCTCCACAATTAAATTAGGAGGCCACTGAAGTGAGAGACAGAAAGCGCTGTGAGGATGAGCGATGGGGGCTTCGCTATCAGACGTAAAAAAAACAGTAGCATCAACCATTTGGTGGAATTAGGATGAGCTAAAGTGGCAAATGGGAGTGAAAATATATATATATGCGGAGGGTGCCGAGTTGCTTCAGAGTGAAAACAGAAAGCCTACATGGCAGCCACTTTCAAACCACAGCATCACCATTGGAAATGCATTGGAAGTGTCATGGCTGTATTTACGGCACTTATCAAAATGGAAACTATTTATGATGGATTTATGAATAATGCATGCACCTGAAACATGATACAAATCCAAATTATCAGATGACACGTCCAGCCAGGCAGAATGAATAAATGTGATATTTCAACAGATTTTAACTTCACCCTTTACTTCACACTGCCAACAGGACAATGCAAGTTATCTAGTGAGGCAAATGAAATAAAAACAAGGCGGATATATTTTTATAGAATAAAACATTTAGTACTGAGAAACCCATGGGGAATAGTCAGTAAAATCCTCTATGTGTCAGCAACAAGGAGCGGCCTTCAGAAGAAGTGTTGCTTTACTAAATACCTATCCACAGTTATCTTATTCTGTGAAGTTTCCATGGCAGGCGCTGTCAGAACTTCTTGGTCTTGCCATGGATACAAAGCTTTGTGATAAATGAAAGGCTATCAGAGGGACAGAGACAAAACAAGAGGAATGAAGTGACATACATGTCTCTGAATCAGAACTACTATCTATCTATCTGTGTTTATCTGTCATCATACGGGCATGCAGCAGTCACTTTTTAACTCTAAACACGGCTCTATGACATTTAAACTAAACCCTTTTCAGCTTATTTTACACACCAATCAAAATATGAGGGATTAGGTATGCCGGTTGATAGACCTATTGTCCAAATATCGTTACAAATTAGTTGTATAATATGAATAGAAGTCAGTGGCACATGAAAACTCTTCCAACAAGTGCAACTATCACATACCTTCTACATCTATTATACAATGTGTTTAGTAGTCTATTTCACATTAATTACAGGGAACTTCAATTTATTCAGGTACTGACACAAAATACTATGTTATTATTTGTTATGTGAAGTATAAACATATCTATATAGCACCCCATTATAATGCTATGGGTTTAGCTGCTCCCTTAAACAGACTGCAAAAAAATAGTGACCCTTCCTGTCATTACTGTAAGAAAATCATTGTTATGCAGTTTATTCACATTTTGTTTAGAAACATCCGTCTTCATTAGCACCCAGGGACTATGTGTGCTTCTGGATGTATCGTCTATTAAAACAATAATGAGTTATTATTCAATTAAGCAGTGAGTTTAAGCCGTAATAATAATAGTCAGAGGGCATTGTGTCTCACAGCACTCAGGGCCTCTTGTTTGCTTGTGCTTGTTGAGCAGCTTTCTTTTTTTATTCCGTGCCCTTTTGAAGTGACATTTCACTTATTTGCGATTAGAGGGAACTTGACCCTGGCCCATTTATTGCTTTTCAGGGTTTTCTCTAAGTACTGCCGCCGAGCAGCACCACCACAATCCAAAAATAATTGACTGTTTCCACAAGGGTTTAATTCAATGTAATGGACCCAACTCGAACCTTTTAGCAGCACATTACAAAATTGCCTGCGGTGCGTCCTTTGGTGCTGGTCTTTATATGTTGGAGAACTTTATTTCCATACAACTGCTGCTGATAAGAACAGATTAAGAAACATTTATTAATCCTTGGACAACTTTCTGTCTACTGTTACAGTACATTTTTCCACTGTGTATACAGCATCGAAAATTAGTAATGAAAATAAAGTACTGCACTGAAGTACCATTTTAAAGTACTTTATTTGAGTATTACTTTACACTTTCTACAAGCATTGTGCGTTTACTAAATGTATTTGATACCTTTACTTATGAGTTACTTCGCAGAATGAGATAAATAATACAAATATAAAACAGCATACAGGGAGGCTGTGGCTCAGTGGAATAGTGCGCTGAACTTAGTGCGCTGAACTTTGAATCAGGGCATAGCAAGTTTGATTCCCACTGCAGTCAGCATGTTGTTGTGTCCCTGGGCAAGACACTTCACCCCAAATTGCTCCTGTGGGGATTGCCCACATTACTGAATGTATGTAAGTCGCTTTGGATAAAAGCACCTAACAAGTGACATATAATGTAATGTAAAGCATACAAATGAATTATGATGTATTACTACGGATACAGGTAATACCTAACGAGGCAGGGTTTATAGTGAAAATAATAATTTAAAAATATCCCATATTTATCAGCTTCAACATTAAAGCAATTGACTTCAATAGTATAATATGATTTAATAAAATATAAAACAATACATTATAATACAACATTTATTTGTTGATAATTGACCGTTTTACATAATGACTGCTTTTACTTTTAGTTGATGCAATTACTATTTTACATTTCGTTTAGTAATATTTTGAATAACAACATTGTACTTGTAATATTATATTACTGTAAATACTACTATATAGTAATTATAGACTATGGTTTCACTATTTTAAAGGTCCCATGTCATGGCCACTTCCACTGATCATAATTCCATTGTTGAGGTCTAATAGAATTTATATTGTGAACTTTGGTTTCTCATACAGCATCTCTGTAAACTATGTGTATTCACTGAATTCCACTCTCTGCCTTTAACGGCTCGTTGTAGCTCCAGTAGCTCCAGCCCCCACCCTCCCTTTGAGCACAGTGTGCTCTGATTGGTCGGGACGTTGTGAATCACGCTGAGCTCCGTGGAGGTGTGGTTTCCTTGTTTAGCGACAGCCAAACACAGCCAAACTCATCCTGAGCACACACAAAGTCAAAGTCGAAGTAAAAACAATAAGTGTGGCTTGATATTGAGTAAGAAAAAGGTTGATAAACGCTGTGAGAATGGGTCTGCAGAGAGAATTTTGCCGCGATCCCAACTGTCTGTTATCAGCCTGCAGCCAGGGAGGAGAGATCAGCAGAGCTGCCTGCACTGTGTTTGTGAGGAAGTCCGTGGATTGGTCAATTTGGACCAATCAGCGGGGGCTTAACGTAACGGCTCCGCGGACGTAACGTAACAGCTCCACGGACGTAACGTAACGGCTCCACGGATTGGTCCATTTGGTTCCGGGTAACGCATGACACCATGCGGTACCCGGAAGAATCAATGGACATTGACGTATCTCCAACGAGGCGTTTTGGGGAGGTATTTTCTGTGTTAGAGTTTTACTCGCTACAGGGTGTACTTTGAGGGTTTTGACTCTGCAGACCGTTTACATGCATAAAAACCTTCATAACACACAAGGGGACGGGTAATAACCGGAAAAGCATGACAAGGGACCTTTAAAGTAAGTTAAATATCTTAGGATCTTCCTCAACCTACAAAAACAATGCTATAAATCTATCTTTGTGCATTCATGGAGGCTACAATGCTAATGTTATTCATTTCCAATTCAATTACATGTTAATGAACTGTAAAAGTAAATAGGCTAGCTTAAATATGGGCTAGCTATCAAAGATCACAGCATGCTGCTAACCACATAGCTGATCAAATGAAAACTAAACAAAGTATTCAAGCTGTTATGATGAGCGGCTAACCTTGATGTGTCACATTAATTACAATGTGATTAATAATTGATAGCCGATGGGGCTGTAATTCACCGTCTAGACCGTGAAAGTTTAAGCCACAGAGACCCAAGCGTGTTCTCCTACAGCATAAATAAACAATCTGGAATAACACATGATGAATATATAATATTTTATGAATTACCTTGAGAGAGGACCCACTGATTGAGTTTGACGTGGTACAGCACAGAGCGAAGACTCCAGTGCTGAACCAGGGGGTAGCCAGACACCTCGCTGAAGTTCACCATACCTGCAACAACACACGCAAAACACATGTTTTAATATGGATGCAGTCCCAGGGTATATGCAGGAATCCTGAAGTTAATGTAATACCTTTTAAGACCTTTTCCATACATTTTAAGACCTCATCGCCACTTCAAGTTCTAACCGGTTACATTGGCGACACACTTTACCTCACATTTACTATATACAGTATTGATTGTCCTTCCTCCTTATCTTCCAACCATTTGGACGCAAACTTGCATTTCCGCATAATGATGTTTTAACAACCAGCGTAAACGGACCTTTGCGCGCTATCAAGCAGTGAGCGTGCGATGCCCTGTTCAGATGACGTCAGATCCAAGGGGATGCCATAAATAAACTACACAGAATCACACTACACACCTACGCAATGATTACGTTCAGGCAAACTGTAGAGTACAACCTCTTTGGACAATTTATATACTTATTGAAAACAAGCTACCAAAAGTAATACCTTGGAAAATTTCGTTTAATACTTTTTTTACTTTTAAGACCCCACGGACACCCTGAGTCCTTGGTGCTTGATGTAAGTGTATTAAAAATATACTATCAATGTGATATTTACTCCTATAGCGGAGGAGATTGAAGATCAAAAGGCTGCTCTACATCTTATTCTTGTTTACTTTACCTGAAGATTTGTGAAGAATATTTGATCAATATGAAATATTATATTAGATGACAGGAGAAGCAAGCTAAGTCTCCCGTGTTAGATCAAAGTGTTGCCTGATCTACAGAAAAAAGGCATCAAATAATACATACAATATATATATAGTGGTATATTAAAAGGAAGGTATAATTCTTAAATGTTTGAGGAAAGCCAACATCTCACTTTTATATCAGACATGCATATCACAAGCATACAAATACCTTGTCCTTTTTAAGAAAGCATTGTCTGAATCTGGTGTTGACATTCATCACTGTTAATAAATAAAAACTATAAAATACAAATAAATGTATCTTTCATTCTTCTTCAACATTTCACAGAGATCATGAAGTGATCAGCAAAGGAAAACACTGTGAGACGGTAAACCGGCATAATAACTTCTTCACAAAAAGGGATGGTGTTTTGTAAGTATTCAATTGTAATAATGTGTCACTATGACAGTGAGAGAATTGTGATGAATTCATTATGAGTAGTAATTAACTTTTTGTCGCAGCTTAGAACAACAATTTATACTCAGAGAAAAAACGCCAACAAGGCACAATCAGCACTTTTGAAACAATATTAGGAAGTTTTCTGATATGTCACTTGCTTCAGATTTGATAAATGCCATCAATCCCCCACGTTAGGCAAGGCACATTTCTCGTTATAAAACATTTCATGCAGTACACAAAGTTATGTACATGTATATAATTCAGCTGAGAAAAGACAATTATAGTGGTCTAACCTAGTGGAAATGAAAGCATGGATTACTTTCTCTAAGTCCTGCCTAGACATTAATCATCCGATCCTTGCTATGTTTGGAAAAATTGGTAGAATGCAGACCATGTAATTGATTTAACATGGCTTTTACAATTTAAAACTGAGTCCAAGATTATACTAATATTCTTGACTTGTACTTTTAGTTTTTAACCCTCAGCCCTTCAATTTTGTCTGCATCTAGCTTCAAAACCTGTTGCAACTTACACATTATGTATCGCTTGTGGACTCTTATGGCACTACTTATATTCTATTTTATTGTATTTACTTGCACTATTTGATCCGTTCTATTGTGTTGCACTGTTGGAGGAGCCTGTGACCTAAGATTTTCATCGACATAACTATACTGTAGCTCTGTACGAATCACAATAAAAGCCTTGAATCTTGAATCTTGTAAAAGGTCTGGGCGGATGCAATTATCCATTTGTTCAAATCCCTTGCAAAGAGACTCGGTGGGACTGTGTAGTTGCTTGGTGAAAGAAGGTAATGTGGCTTATTGAAAGTAATCATGTGAGGTCAACTGACATAATTGCTGGTGGGCAACTTTTATAAATACTTTAATTTCCAAAGGGAAGGTTTGGCCTTGATCTGTGTTTGGTAATCACACAAGTGTCCAGTCTACTCTTCTAGGATTGGTGTGTGGTTTTCAAGGCTTCAGGAAAATTACCTGATGAAAGGGAGCTATTTGGCAATTAATCTGTTGGCAAAAACGTTTTGCAAAGGAGTGTGTTGGTAAAGCATCAACACAGCAGGTCTGCTGCTTAAGATTGATGAATAATGTCCCATGGAGTTCTGCCGTCAAAGGTATTACATTTCACCCAATGCCTTTAACGTAACAATGGATGGGAATTCATTTTTTCTACATGACATTGAACTATTAACGGCTAATTTAAAGTAAGAATGGAGAAACCAGCTCGAGTGCTCTAGAATTTGAAAGTAAAGTTCCTTCAGATTTCCTTACAGAGCCCCTCCTCCAGCACACACGGACGCGCACATGACCAATGAGGGCACGAGATAAGTTTGTGCACGAGATGGAAGGCTGACAGGCAGGTAGGCCATCCAGTTATTTTAGCCGTGCCGGCTTAGATGATTGGTCGTGCTTTTTACAGCGCCACGGCTTACACAGATGAAATGTTTTTATGTATTTATTGTCAAAGCATTTAATTTATTCATTGCTATCGGGATGTTAAGAGCATTCCATGGAATATAACAAAAAGTGTTTCTGAAGAGAATTACCTACCCCACCTTTAATATCATGAATTATGTAACTTGAGAAAGTGAACACATTGGTATTTAAAGGGGACCTATCATGCAAAATGCACTTTTTGATGTATTTTATACATAAATATGTGTCCCCGGTGTGTCGGGGAACTCATGCAGCGTCAGAAAATAAAACTCTTTCTCTTTTCCTCTGTACCCAAAACTTTAAAAAATGGGGGTACAACGAGCCAATACAGATTTGCTGCCGATGACGTCAAATTGGCGGTGGACCCACAGAATGTTGCAATCAGAAATAATGCCTGACGTGTTTTGGACGTAATCTCGTCTTGGTTTACATTAGCAAGCCTCGCTAACACTCAGAGCTAACCTGTACTGTAGAGCACATGTGTTTAAAAAGCGTGCGTGCGNCGCACCACCTGTAACTTTCTCTGCGCACGAGAGGCTGAGACCTTATGCTAACCAATTATGATTTATGTTGTATGTTTTGGATGAAATAATATGACTGGTATAAAATAAAATAAATAAAATAAAAAATAAAAATAGAATTTCTTTTGTTAAAATATTTTTATATACTTATAATTCTGCAAATATTACGATAAACCCACAGCTATTTCGCGGCCCCCGCAGTAACACCTGGGGTTGGGGACCCCTGGTCTAAAGGACATAATAACTGCTTTAGTTCTGCAAAAAGAAAATACCTTCTGTTTTAGGGCCCATGATAAATGAATAGTGTACTGGGGAGTAAAATATGGATTTGGGGTTTGATGTGCTGATCCAAAGGAAAATAAATAAACATTATATATTATTTACTTACTGAAAAAGTGAATTTTTTGGTTAATATAAATAAAAAATGCCCAAAAGGACCAGTAAACATGGTTACACCTGTATGATGCAATGTGATGCAATACAACAGCTAAATATGTTATTGTACTTGTGTGTGTACGGAGCCCTGGAGGGTTCATAGAGAGAAAAATAAATAAAACGTGGCCACGTTTTACTTTCTCGTTCGCACAAGATACCTTCTCGTGCGAACGCTTTATTAACTCGTGCACACGAGTTAATAAAGCGTGCGCTTCATGAATGAATAGTGTAAATAGCAAATCCTGCTTCGTAGTACAGGCCACGTAACACTTTTAACGAGTTAATAAAGCATGGCCTCATTGTATTTAAAACGTGGACACGCTTTACATCTCGTGCGCACAAATTAATAAAGTGTGGCCACGTTTTATTTATTTTTCTCTCTATGAACCCTCCAGGACTCCGTATGTGTGTGCTGGCATGTGGTGTTTTATTGCATTATATTGAGCATTCCGTATTTCATATATACAAACATATTGTCCAATATATTATGTAATGTATACAAAGGAGCTTCATTTTGAAAGTGGGATATATTATAATGCAATGACAACTGACAGTGACAACAGTATACAACATCTAAAAACATTTGAATCTATCGCAGCGCAGTTGTTTTGATACCTTACTGGGTTCCTTGTAACTCAGTGTGCTTTATTATCATATACATTTTATATCAAATATGTTTGCCTGTTAGATTTGGGGAAGGTTATATTTGTTAAATTATTTTAATCAGAATGAAAGGTATGTATGGCTCATGTGTCTTTAAAATAAACCTCTAACAGCTTCCAGAAATTCCAGACACTGATTTAGTGGAAATATATAATTATGAATATAAGATAACTGTCAGGGTTTGAGTATTTGTGTGTCTAGTTTTGGGGTTATTTTGCTGTTCTGTCCTCCCTGTCATTAGTTTCCCTGGTGTGTCTAATTGTCTGATTGTGTTCACATGTTGCCCTTGTGTTTCTCCTCCCCTGCTCGGCTGTTTCGTCTTGTGATTACCCCTCCCTGTATTTAGTCTTGTCTCTTCTTGTGTTCAGTGTTGGTTCATTTTTTGTCGTTCATGTCTCCCTTCATGTTGGTCACAGTCCCTTTTTGTTTTGGATGCTACCTTGTACCTTTTATTGGATTCTTGTTTTTTCAGCTTTTTGTGATTAAAGCTCGCCTTTTGTTCCATTTTGAAACCTGCTTCCCTCCTCATTCGGCATTTGGGTCCTATTTTTCCCCATCCCGTGACAATAACTTTACTGTGACCTATAATGCTGAGCTGCATGTCTTTACATTTTGTTCATGGAACATTTATATAGTAATTGTTTTACATTTGGCAAATGTGCTTTGAATCAACTGATGAGACTGATTTAATTAATGAAGCATTCTCTAATTATTTTGGCTTTACACTTAATGCATTGTGTTAAAATGATTCTTCTTCCTCTCCTGTCAGGGTTTAACATTTCTACACTCAGAATGACTCAGAGAGGAACATTTCCTCAGCTGGG